CTGTCGCACGGATGGGCCGGCTCGAACCGGGGTAGTACCACGACCTCACAGAAAACCAGCGTGAAGTAGAGGTTTATCTCTGCGTTTCGCTTGGTGAGTGCAGGTGGCCGGAGGCCCTTTTTACTGGAAATGAGGCATTCCATCTTAGTCCTCACGGGTGACAACGCATCTACATTTTGATTTGTAACAGAGGATAGATGTAGATGTCTATGGGCCGCAGCAACCACTTACCATCAGGTGGACTGTGTGCTCGTTTGTCACCCTTATCCTATAAAAAAAAAGAGCACCCGACTTTTGTCTGGACAAAAATAACTTACTTTGGGCGTTGGATTTGAAAGAAATTTTTAATAAGTTGCAGAATATTTTATGTAATTTGTGTTGTTGCTTGTTTTATTTATTATTTAGTATATCTGCTAATAAATTATTGATACATTTCTTAAAAAAATATACGAAGCTTAAACATTTTAAATACCGTCCGAATCGATGCTCGGTGCGGATTTACCGATAATTTTTTTTGGACTAAGAGCCGATTTTTCAATTTTCAGTCAAAATTTATCCATAGAATAATATACAACATGCAAAAATTAAAAATTACAGCGGTGCGAAAAAAAAAAATAGTTCAATTGTTTAACTTTTATATTGTCATTGATTTGATGGATAGCTTTTACCCGACGATTGAAAATCGGTCCTTAGCCAGCTCGTAGATCAATCATTATTAATCATTTCTTCTTTTCCGACCATAAATTATTACAAAAATATTGTGTTTGTAAATATAATAAAATAAAAATAGTAAAAGTGTGACAGCGGATATCTATTATATATATTTACGCAATTAATCATCATCAGTAATAAGACAACGTAAGACACTATATATACATTCAGTATAGAGGAATTAGGGTTGCTTCAGCCACCATTTATCGAAGGACCAGCATCGTCTTATGTGACGTGGCACTAAACACCTATACAGGTGTCGAAGATAGAAGGAAAAAAAAACATAAGTGAGGGGTAGAACTCGGAACTCGGAATCCCCTACTATCTGGACCCCCTACCTATACAGACCTAACGTAGACCTATCAATCAAGGTCATTTTGATTTCGCAAATCATTAGATGGGATGATAAATTTGCGCAGGTCACATCGCCTGAGTCGAACTCTTTATCGAGTAGAAATTCCATTGTTTAGTGCGTTACGCTGTTTTATTGCTGTTAATGATTAATAGTGCAAAGTGCAAGTTGCCGTCAAAGTTATTCAATTTGTTATCTTGTTTATTGAGATTATTTTCTTGTGAAGCTGACCAGTGTTAAATCGTAATACATGTTGCTGTTGGTTTGCATACTTAATCCATTTTAATGTTATCATGTAAAAAATCCATAACGTTACACTAGATGTATGATCGTGATCGACACATATTACGGTATGTTTGAGTTTTAATTGCGTTACGCTGAATTTGTAGTGCATTACGCTGTGTTATTGCTTTTACCGTCGGTTGCTGATTCTACGTGCTAATATGACTTTCTCATTGAAACTTCTCTAATATATTAGAACAAGATAGTTTCTGTGATTTAAATAGGAAATATAAACGTTTTGAATTCTATCAAGCAAAAAAAAAACTCGAGAAGATTGAGACAGAACGACGGTAAAAAATTTTCATAAATTAATTAATTACAGCGAAACCTGGGTATGCCAGAAGAAGCATAAAAGTAAGTTGAATGCAGTGGAGATGCGATCTCTTCGTAAAATGTGCGGCGTTACCATGGCCGACCGAAAGCGAAACGAAGAGATTCGCAATATGGCAGGTTTGAAAGATGACCTTATCACAAAAATTGATAAGGGCGTGCTTCGGTGGTTTGGGCACGTTGAGCGAATGAGTGAAGACCGAATGGTGAAGAAAATATATAGCGCGAAAGTTAATATTAAAAGGTGTCGAGGTAGACCGAGACTAACTTTCGAAGACCATGTGAGCAAATTGCTCGAAGAGGGTAGGGTCAAAAGTACTCGGATACTTAGACGTGCATGCATGAAGAAGATAATGAATCTGAAAGAAGCGAAAGAGGTATGTAAGGATCGTGACACTTGGCGATCTGTTCTCTCTGGCTACCCCGTCAGGGATTGTGCGTGAAGATATATTAGTAATTAATTACAGATCTAAACATGGGCCCTGGATATATATCAAGAGTCCACTGTTAAACAAAGGCCTTCCTTTGGAGAGATTTTCTTGGCAAGCGGGTTGAAGACCGCAGTTTACGTCCCGTGGGTGCCATAAGAGGCAATTATGAGAAATGCCAGAAAGTTGTGCCATTACCACCGCGTTTATGGCCAATAATCACCAAAACTGGCGACGGGGACCAACGTTCAGGCTGCGAGCAGATGGTACTGCTCGCTCGATGGTGGTCAAACTATGTACCTGCCAAGCGTGACGGTCAAGAAAAATCCCCCTACATCGAGAGAGGTCCATGTCCAGCTGTAGAATTTTACGGGCTGATGAAGATCACCTAGGCCGGGCCAGTCTCACACCTGGTGTCGTCAAACGTAGTCGTAGCTGCTAGCAAGTCCTAGGGTCCAATTCTATTCACTTTTCTGCTCCATACCTAACCTTGGGCGCGAAACCTATTACCCTGAGAGACTAAAATAGTAAAGCTTCTGAACATGAGTGACCATTGCCCGTTTTAACCAAATAAAATATGATTGCAGTTGACATATTTTTTTTTGTTTAGTTGACATATTATGGTGGACAGAATGAAGTCAGTTGCGTTTTACGATCAAGCTGTTGCTCCATTGCTCTTCCCCGTCCCTGTCTCTCATTTCTTTAACGGAAACGTCACTCGTTTCCCAAACGTAGTGATAAATAAAAAAAAAACAATTTTTACTTCAAATAATACATCTGTTCAAGTCCACTGCTGAACACAGACCTCCTATCATGTTGATATTTATAAGAGGGATATTTGCCATAGCTGCTACCCTTGGCAGTTTATTCCCTCTATCGCCTCTTATACTACGGCCACACTAGCGTGATTTGGCAATAATTATTGCCTATCTGAAACAACGCCTAGGTGTAGCCACGATTTATGATCATAATGTCAATCAATATAGCATATGACGGCAGGCAATAGCTCCAGGCAGTGGTTTTTTGCGCATATCAAAGAAAATTACAGCGGAAATTCTTGCGTCAAGTGGCCACACTACAGTTTGCATTGCGCGACATGAGCTCAACGAAAACGCAGGTGCCGACCGAAATGGAATGGTCAAATGAAAAGGTGCTCGAGTTTTTGAAAACATGCCAATCGGAACCAAGTCTACTCGTATGGGATGATACTCGACAAATCTTTATAGCTTTCACAAAATGTAAAAGTTTCAAGCTTTCAAGTAATAGTAACGGACACTCATAAAGTATAGATATATAATACCGCCGCAGCTTTAACCTTCATCTTGTAAAATTACATTTTTTCCGCCTAGTTCATTGTCATATCTAGATAATCTAGTGTAATTTCCACTCTACATCACGCGGTAATTTAGGCAGTAATTTAATGCCATAATGATTGCGGTAAACGGGCGGTAGACGGTAAGGTAGTGTGGTCTTAACTTTACGACACCCATGGGACGATATTCAACATTTACATATTGATAATGAACATTTTTTTTTTATTTTGATATTTCTGTTGCTCTAGTTTACAAGAGTAATATTATGACCGTCAAAATTATCACCAGTTTTTATGGACAGTGTAAATGTCCGATTCTCAAACAAGACTTAAATGCAAGATCCTATCCTATACATAACCTTCGGCAGTGCAAGTTTGAACTGATAAGATAATAATAAAAAGGTCGCAATTAGTTTCTCTTTCTCAAAAAAAAAAAGAGTTGTTATATAAATAAATAGTCGCAAAAGCGAAATAGTAATAAATTACTATTATTATGTAGTTATTTCATATACCTAACTATAATATATTAATAACCATCTGATAAATTAAAACGATTAAAATTAAAAAGGACGATTTATCCATGATTGTATAAGAGCTTCTCCAAAGGCATTTGGAACTCCGCGATAATCAAATTTTTTTTTTCAGAGAATATTAAATAATAATATATTATATTTTTTTATTTTACTCTTTATAAAAATAATACTAAAGTAAAGAAGACGAAATATTTTTAATAAAACATTTATCGTAGTCGCACATGTAGTCGAAATCAAATTTGATTTCTATTTTTACAACAAAGCTTTTTGAAGCTCTCAAATAAGCTGGAAAAGATCGTTTTCATAAAAAAGACTTTACCGTAATTCCAGGCTTCAGGTGTAATGAGGGCATGGGGAAAATATATAAACTAACAAATCCACTTCACTTCACATCGATTTTTGTTAAATTGCTACAATTATTACTTAAATTATTCGCGTGTAATGAAACGGGCGCGAAAAATCGGTATCACCGGGCACATAGCCCTATTGAGTGTTTTGGTCGGTTGACTACCAACCAAGCACGGGATTCGCAGGTTTGCTCTGTCGGATTCTCTGAATAATGATTGAATTTGTAGTTGCATGATAGCGCCATCTTGTAGTGAGTCATAAAAGTTTTTACTTTTAAAAGATTATAAAGGGATTTATTTGATTTTCTCTTTCATTTTGTAAATGTTAATGTTAATCGTTGTCAAATTAAATAATGAAACAGTGGTATTAACAAATTGTTTTATAAGCAACTGTAAATGTAAAACAATTTTACAGTGCCATCTATTGAAATTTACTTAAACTACTACATTGGCATAGCGTGTGTGATTTGTTTTTACATTCATCCAATCAAAAGGCGAGTAGTTAGGACACATGCGCAGAAGAGGGGAGTTCTCAATGAAAATAATCATAATCGTAAATCGTAATCAGACTGTAGCGTAGCTATACGTATTTCGGTATTGCTGTGCTAGTTGCAGGTACGCGAAAGTTGTGATTGCGTTGCCGGCTATACGCACGTATATTAAATAATTATATATTTGTGTATGCAGTGAATACATTTAAGAAAAATGACCAACGCTCCTGTGAAAAAAGTTCCGATTCATTTGCAGGTAAGTCTGGTTTAAAATCCGTTACTTTCGGTTAAAACGTCGTTTTCAAATTCGTATTTCTTTAAAACTGAAGTGATAGTCAACCTGATGGTAAGTAGCTACTGTAGTCCATCCATGGACACCTGCAACCCATTGCAAACAATATAGGTTACAGATATGTAGTCACTTTTGAGGACTAAGATAGAATACCTCAAACTCTACAGCCTTTTCAAGTAGATAAATTCTTACAATCAAGATATTAACCAAAGATAATAATAATAATCTATAATAATTTACACAATTTATAGAAGTGAATAATTTTTCATCATGTGAAAAATGACCTAATTCCGGGCGGCGAAATTAGGTTGCCGGTTCTTACGAAACACCATTACAAATAGATATTGAGTGTTCCCACGAGCTCTTGATTTCTTGATTTGATTCCAGGCCAAAATTATGCACGAAATATCGGCTGAGCAATAAACGCACCCTTAGTTTTACACTCTTAAATAAGTAGACAAAAAATGTATGTATGGATGGACAAGTTAGTACAGCCTGTTAAGTGGGTACCATAGTATTTATTTTAAACTTTGTCACTAAATAGTTAACATTTGCAGGCACATACCTACATTTAAATTAAAAGGCACTTTTAGTAAACTAGTTAGTATATATGTATTCCGTATGTATAAAATAGTATACATATAACCTAAAATAGTATATAATATTAATAACAAAACTCAATTTCTATTCCATATGTCGACGCCGTGGTAAAACTTAGCATTTTGGGCTACCGGTGAATCACATATCTAATACCTAGGTATAATGTTTTAAACGCGGTGCCGGTTAATGACCTTAATTGAGATCTATATTAAGATTATACAAATTAATAAGAATAATAAATTTATGATTATACCTAACAGCTGACTATTGGTTTCCCCTGTATAGGTACATTTTGATTTGTATCTCCTACAATAAGTTTATAAATATGTTATACCTTATTTACGGTTACACGTTTACGTTAGTGATTGTCCGAGTTGGTAAACTAAGACATAGCCTAGTATTGTTTGAGTGTTAATAAAATCTATTTAAAAAAGGCGTCGCTAGGCCCAACATTCGGGTCAATTATCAGATCAGCTCCTTGGCACCCTACCTATTGTCATCAAACCTCCATACATGTAGGTATGCGAAATTTCAGCTCGATCGGATGTCAGCTAGTGCTTTTAAAAATTGATTACAAATTTCGAACCGAAAATACATACGAAGAAAGCAAGGTTGTAAAAATCTGTACCGACAAGGTAGGTACCAGCAATATATTGACACCAAAGCTTTATGTTGGCAATGGGACGTGACATGCGCAATGGACACCGGGATTTTGAAGTCCATTCGGGGAACAACGCGTAGGTAAAAAATACTTCTTGTGCGTATTTTTAAATTAACACTGAAGAAAAATCAGCAATTCTTGTCAAAGTTTTGAAAGGCATAAAATATAAATTTTATTGTTTTATTTCCACAAAATTTAATTTACCTATTTCAAATTCAAACAAAATTGAACAATAAAATCTAAAATTCTATACAAAATACAAATGCGTTACAAGAATAGCAAAGATTTTGTTCTTTCGTTTGATATATAGACATGGACGATTCTGAGTAACAGCACAGTCTTAGTAACAATCAGAAGAGCTACAATTTTTTTTTATAGAAAAATTATGACAAGCGAGCAGACAGGTAGACTGTGTCACCTAATGTTAACAGGTAGCCGTGGCCCATAGACATTTACATGTATCCACGATTAAGAATCAAAATGCAGATGCGATATCACCCCGAGGACTAAGATGGAATGCCTCCTTTTCAGTAAAAGAAGTCTCCGGGTCACGGCTATTTTTTACGCTGGTATTCTGTGAGAGATAAAACCGATGTCCCGGTTTTATTTCTGTCAGCAAGCATTATTGCATTTACTGCTAAGTTCCGCTCTGAAGAGTATTGAGAACCAGTAAAACTACTAGCTATGACTGCTTACCATCAGGTGACCTGATGGATCTGTTTGTCACTATGATGACAAAAATGCAGTTGTTAAGAAAACGTAGATATTCGAGGAGAATAAGTGTATCATTGAAACATTATACTTAAGAAAGATGTTTTTTTATGATAATTCTTTATCAAAAATAAAACATCTGGGCGAATATGCATACTTATCCCAGTGGCGTGTGTTTTTGGATGTACAAATCCTTGGCCATGGAACAGGAAGGAGGTGCTGCAGCTGACGATGGAACAAATATTTGAGTTTGTGAACTGTGAACACAAACTTAGCTTCAGTGTTAAAGTTAAAGGCGCAAAAACGTGCGTTTGTAGATTGTACTATACGTCAAGTTTAATATGCTTGTACAAGGCATAGGACAAAGGGCAAAGAACTTACGGCCGATGTTAAACACCGAAGCTTTAGGATGTCTGAACCGGTTGACTATCGCTCCTGATATTGCATAAGATTTAATGATTTCGTCGGGAAATTAAATAGAGGAAATGGCAGGGTGCTACTAAATTTAATCCTAAAAATGTGTGTAAAAAATCTACTTCGATCTGTTATTTGAATAACGCTTTTTTATTCCTTACAATCTAATGGTTCATATTTCGTTTGTTTTTTTATCAGCTTGCCAGTGCATTTTGCTCGGCAGGTGTCAGGTTCTCACCCTTTCAAAACTGTTGGTTCTTTAAGAATATGGGGCCCAGTCTGGGCGTAAATTCATGCATGTACTTCTTAGGTTTTCTAGACTTTATCATAGCCAATGATATTCAGTTCACTTTTTAAGTCATGTTTAGAAAGAGAAGTCAAACGTTGAAAATTCTATGTCTAAAGTAGCGACTAGGAAATGCTAGAAGGATCTCATGGTTAACGATGGAAAGCGGTGTAATTAACCAACTCGTTTACGGTAAACGTAAGACCATCTACCTGTGGCGTCAGATCGCTAATTCGACTGATATTCGAGTGTTCATAAAGAAGAATTACCGGCCAATTGCGAGTCGGACTCGCACATGAAGGGCTCCGTACCATTGTAAAACACGTTTCTAGAAGGGGCTCCCCTTTAATTTTTAATTCATTTTTATTATTTGTTGTTATAGCGGCAACAGAAATACATTCTGTGAACATTTTTTTTTATAGGTTAGGGTGACAAACGGGCACACAGTCCACCTGATAGTAAGTGGTTGCTGTGGCCCATAGTCATCTACATTTATCCTCGTTTGCGAATCAAAATGCAGATGCGTTGTCACCCGTGAGGACTAAGATGGAATGCCTATTTTCCAGTAAAAAGGGTCTCCGGTTCTCTACACTAGTGAGTGTAGAGAGCCGACCCATTTGTGCTACAACTATACTACTAATATAGCTGCAGCATGGCTCTACCACGTACGTTTCAACTGTCTACCTATTACGGATCATGAGATACAGCCCGCTGACAGACAGACGGACGGACAGCGGAGGCTTAGTAATAGGGTCCCATTGGTTACCCTTTTGGGTACGGAACCCTAAAAATTACATAAAATAAAATTCATAAATACATAACTTCTTATCGAAGATTAATATCATAAGTGTACAGTTTTAAATAATTTATATTTTGATTTCTTTTTCCATTGTTGCTTCATAAATAACAATTTTCTATGAACCAATAAAGTAACATCTTAAAGCACTAAAAGTACAAGCTAAGCGCAAAACAAAACAAGCAAACTTTGAACACCAACCAACACTACCACCTGTCGTTATGTTTCCTCCCCATCCGTTCGATTTCAAAGAAGTTATTAAATGTGTTTTTATTCCAATACAAAGTACTTTTCGAATTACTCTGTAATGTTTGTGTCATCATTTTAAAATACTATGATGTAACAAGGTGGGGGGTAATGACGTAGATAGAGAGCTATGCGAAATTAAGTTAATTTTTTTTACCTCCTTTGATCATATGGTCCTGTGTGTAGTCACCCCAAGTCATTAATTTGGATATGATTCACGCTGTGCCTTGGAAAAATAGTAAAACCGTTGGTCCTGCGCACGATCTCTCTCCGGTTTTGTCGGATAGGAATTTTATCCGTCCCATCGGACTATGAGAGCGAGGGAATAAATAATGCACCTATGCTTGCACATCATTGAGTTATACTCGTATGTACTACGTACTAGAGAAGCCATTCCAAACAAAAATTGTGTCCTACTCTATATCTTCGCGCATGCGCGGGAGTAGTAGTCACGCATACGCGAAGACTTTAATTGGATATAAAATAAGATATTAATATAAAATAAATATAAGAATTTAATATAAAATATCTTAATTTAATCTAAACAAACATATTTCTAAATAAAATGTAATAATAATTATCTTATGGAATTCACAATTCTTCAATTTACGCAATATTTTTTGTAAGGATTGCACTACAGTTCAGTTGAACATAGTCAATGTTCGGAATGGCTTCTCTCGTACGTAGTACATATAACTCAATGTTGCACATACACATTCGAAGACTGTAATCCTGTCTCGCACATATGGCGAATCTCTTTTGAGACTCAGTTATCAAAATTTGGTGTGGAAGACTATTATGATATGCGAAATTTTCTCTAAATGTTTGCTACCCTTGAATGTGTTGCACATAACCTGATTCTACAGATGATGTCCTAGCAATTGATTGATGGCGAAAAAACCATCTAGAAACCAGAATACAACCAACTTGTGCAAAATTATTAACTCTGTGCTCACTAACTCACCTGCTTCTTTTAGAACAGTGAAGTGACAAACGAACTTGCAGACCACCTGATGGTATGTGGATCATAGATACCTACGTCTATCCTCGATTAAGAATCAAAATATTGGTGCGTTGTATCGCCTCGGTATGAGTCTAAATTCCAACTTTACAGTGTCGAAATTTAAAGTCTATACTATGCAGTTATACATGGATTTGGATATTGTGAAGCTTTAGTTCAAAGTCAAGGTTATTTCTGAATACCTGTGTAAGATAGAATGCCTCGTTACCAGTAAAAATGGTCTCCGGTT